CCATTATCTTCAGGTAAGACTATCTGAGACTACGCTAGCATGTTCGACAAATTTTTATTAATAAGAAATGTATCAATTTTACCAGTGTTTAACTAAAAGATTCATAAAATTGAATGGGAAGAAAGCATATCAGAATCTCAAAGAGTGGCCACGAGGCTTTCTTTTCTACCGACGAATTATGGGTCTTGCATTATTGGAACCAACAGCTATCAACGAAGCTTTCCAGAATCTTATTAATGAAACGGAACGAGATATCTTACTGTACTTTGATGGATTCTTGAGATACTATCGACGATGGTGGATTAACACTGTGAAGCCTGCCAATTTCTCTGTATTCGGATTCCACGAACGAACAAATAATGCTATTGAGTCGTATCACCGTGTGTTAACACTCCGAATTGGCCTTCATCCAAATATATGGACATTTATCGGTAATGAATATGTAAAAATAGTTATTATTAAGAAACTTGTAAAGCCCAGCTAAGCTCCTACTTTTTCTCCATTACAGAGAAACTCCTGAAACTACAGAAGATTACAAGAATTGAAATCTTATCATTACAACGAGGAAGAAGTGTGCGACGCCCACGAGAACACCAGTACATAGTACGCGATGAACTCATTGAAACTGCTTGGCAAATGTACGACCGTAATGAACTGGATAATGCAAAATTTTTAACTGCAACAAGTCATATTCTCGGTGGATTCGGCAAAAAATTTGTCATCTGCGAACCTGGACAACTGGCTATGTTTCAAAATGATTTGACTTATCAAGAAATTGGTATGTTTAGAGAATTATCAAGTAATACACACTATGAATCATATATAATTTAATGATTGTGCAAGAATAGTTAATATGATTTTTTTTTCTATTTTAGTCAACATATTTGGAATTCCATAACTTCAAATTCTTGAGGAGGTCATTCCCGTAGTTGGTGATAACCTCTTAGTATGTAAGTATTTTACTTTACGAGCCATTTCAATAGTAAAATTACAATCATAACTGGATTATTTTATTGATGATTTTAACCATTTTTCTCTTATTTCCCGGTAATTCTTAGTGCGCTGTCTAGACATATACCGTTGCACACTTTGCGAAGCCAAGAAGGTTGCAAATATTGTGTCTACACCTTGCTGGCATTGGTCCTCATGCGACAACTGTCTCAATGGAATTATCAATCTGATGGCTCAACATGACAATTTGAACATTGTTTGCCATAAGTGTAATCAAATTGTTACTGCTTTCCGACGGATTGATTAAAACTCGGTTGATTGAGATAACGATTGAAAGGAAAATAAACATTTGTCGGAGTTTAATAATACTATATCGTGCAATTTATGATGGACAGAACAATATTTATTTCATAAGATAATCAATTTAATATTGTTTCAAAATATTATCTTTCTCTCAGTCGTCAGTGGGGATGACATAGATGGGATTATTGATTGATATGACTGATTATTCTAATACTGATGTCATTCATAATATATTGTAAGCTGAAATTTGGAAATGTTGAGAATAAAAAGTTTTCTTACTGTGACGTTATGAGTTAATTTATTCCTTTTTAACTCTTGTTTCACTCCGACCTCGGCTAGTCTCGGTGAGCTCACGGGTGGTTCGCTCAATTGGAGGGATAAGTGAAGGATAGAGGGAGGGTTAACGATATTAAACCGACCGTACTAATGTGGGTAAAATAATTATATATTAACTTCTTTTTATATACGGTAGTGTTTAATGGCTCGGTATAACGCGGTACTTGACTCGACTTTGGGACCTTGACTTGACTTGGTTCTTGGTTGGCTGAAGGCCTGAGCCCAGAGATCTTCTCTGTCCAGCTCCCGAACGTACTCTGCCGTACTCTGGTGCTTCCCGAGTCGTCCAAACTCGTCAAAGTCCCAAAATGCTTACCTAAGCAATCCCACGGTTTTCTTCACTAATACGGTTTCGTGCATTCGTTTGTATAGAAACCTACACAGTCAAACAGTTCAGCACCCTGAACTGGACCTGTAGAAACCGTGGAACTGCTTACGCTGGTGTCCATGGGACACCGTGGGACTGCTGAGCAATCTTTGGATGAAGGGAATGATAAACCTCGTTTCCCATTCCCATCGTCCACCACTTTGGGCATAATAATTATAATTATTAAATAAATCGACGTATTGATCGATCTCAATACGTCACATTACCTTTAAAATAAATACAAAATCGGCTTTATTACCCCTTCACTACTGGAATGTATTATTTAAACTTAAGAAAAATCTAATAAGCAAGAAATTAATACTTACCACCAACCCTTATACAATCAGCGTTCTCTGATAATTGTTATTGTACATCATGATTTTTTGACCAATTATTTAATTAATTTATTTAGATTTTCCGACCACCGACCTTATATCATCATACGCGCGTCATCTAACTGGTGTGGAAAGAGGTCTGCGTCGATAATAAGGAAAAACAGATTGTCATGATTGGTGATGTAGGAATCGCCGTCGATAAACTAGATCCCCTTACGAAAAATTCACTATTATCAACAGCACTTTTTGTCTTTCAACGTTTTGAGATTTGGGGCTTCTCCTCAATGAACGTTCCGACCAACTATCATTCGAGTGAATCGCGGAGCCCTAAAAATATCGAAGCGCCTTTTTTTACCATCATATCTTTGGAACATCTGGAAATTCAATGTTACCATAAAGGATCACGCAGATACTTCTCAACAACATGTCATCATTATATCATTATTTTTAATGTTTCTCCATTTCAACGTTCCAACTTTATTAGTATATAGCTAATAACCCATATATGATTTTATCCACGTCTTTAGTTTCAATTTACAAGGTGTTACTACAACTATACGAATAAGATTCCATAAATACAGAAATCTAGAATATCAAAATGCCAGTTTTTCGATCATCAATCAAGACATCTCACATTATTTTAAATCTTCAACAAGCTATAATGACCAGTGACGAACAAATCCAGGCAGAATAATTATCTTGATATTCCAATATTCTGTTAGTTAGTCATTTCCATTATCGCAATATCCCGTTAAAGAATCAACGTCTTGTCTAGCCTCTCTTCACATTCAAATCTCTCGTATAGAGGCCATACTCGTTTTAACAATATCGATATTCTTTACCATCAGGAATTTTTAGTTTCTTATGTTTATCATTGACTAGTAATTTTCCGTTAGGACGACCGTACCCAAGCCGAGTATTTCCCTCAAGTTTCCCTGCTTAGCAACATGCGCGTGCAGTTTGGCATAAAATCCCTCGCGCAAGCGTTCGGGATTTTGATGCTGCCAAACTTCACGCACATGTTGCTAAGCAATGAAAGTTTCGGGGAATACTCGATAATTTTCAAACACTCCGGGTATTATAACTGACAATTTTTGATAATTTAACTGGTAATTTTTCATGTTGTCTATATTTGTGGAAAACAGAAGATTCCGTGGTCGAGTGAACCCCTGGTTGAAACTGTCAGATGAATTTTGTCTCATAGTGCAATTCTTTTGGCCGACATTGGGATGGGAAAATTCCCTCCCGAATACTACTCGAGCTTCTAAATTAATCGAGTAATTCTTTCAAGGTTCCCTGCACACAAACGAAGTCGTCAAGTTTTTCAGGAAAAATCACTCGTGCTTCGCACTCGCGATTTTTTAACCTGAAAAACTTGACTCCTTCGTTTGTTTGCAATGAACCTATCGGGAATTGCTCGATAATTTTGAAGCTCTCGTGGTATTACTTGCGGTAATTTTCAACTAACGATGTCGTTGGTCCAAATAAGATTTGTTTGAGAACTTATTCGCTTTTCTCTTAGCGAAGATCAAATTGTTTATGGAATTTTTTATTCATGATGATGCGATCATTGATATTTTCCTTATAACTGGAATTTTCGAAATTATTGTGAAATTTGCATATCGCATTCCTTTGAATTTGCAGTAACTAGGCGACTCAGAACAATAATTTCGTGAATTTTCAGGATTTTCTATAATTTTTATTGCCGTATGGACATGTATGAAGATTTCATGTAAATTAGTCATTGATAATAATTTTAAAATTTTTTATTTGAAATTTCAAGGACATTTTTCTGACATTGTCCACACCAACATTGACGTGACTTCTATTCATCGTTAATCGTTTAATTACCCTGGAAATTAGTGGTGGTTAATTATGTTAGAAATGAGTTGCATTAGGAGAAATCATTAAAAGGCCTGTTTTAAAGTGTTTTCTCTTGATTTCTTCAAAGATCACTCATTCTCAAGATTATTGTGTATTACAAAAAAACCAATTGCAACTGTAGTCAACTAATTCTGCTGCCTGTTGGCGTATCTCGATAATGACTTATACTAATATATAAATCATTAAAATACATTTTTTGTAGAAAATGTTCTGTGTTACAAATAATTTCGATTCATGGTTTCTTCCAGCTTCAATTATTTATAAGATAACCGTAATTGACAAAGATACTGATCTCAACTATCGTCAATTAATTCTTTCGATTATTAAATTATTTTGGTAATCAGTATCACGAGAAAATATCACCAAGAGACCTTTTGGTAGAAAATTTTTTCTTCTACAAGAAATGTTTCCAGAGAGTTTGCTCCGAAGTCCTTCATTTCCGAAATTGAAAATTTGACTTTTCCTCTGTTCTATGCCCCTCAATACATTCTGACACTAAATATTTCGTCATTAATTCCAGGTTTGATCCCAAATCGAGAGAAACAGGAGATAAAAACCGTTAGAATAGTGAAACGGGAGTCAGAGAGGCGCCAGAGAGATCGTGGGGATAGAAATAGTAACATTGGAATTCCTCTGACGAATGGTCTCCAGGCGCCAGGTGGTGCTAAACGACTCGGTGAGGATGACTTTGGCTCAGTGCAATTTGAGAAAGCTCAACTTGGCAGAGTCGTGGAGGAATCAGCACTCATACACGCTCAGAGCACAGTGCAGCTTTCGGAACTGGATGACGTTCAGTTCCAACGCAGTATGTCACTTCCTCGAGGATTTGGAGGCCAGAGGCCACAGCCGGGTGTCCACAATGGTCCTGTTCCACCACCTCCGAGGAGTGATAGTATGAATGCACTGAGGAATATGATGGCTAGAAGACATCGTGTGAGGGTAAGGATTACTATCCAAGGGACACGTTGCGCTGAGAGAATCAATATATTTTGGTTGAGGGGATTTAAGTACTTTAAAACGTATTATTGGAAAAAAAAAATTACATTCGTTTTTTCAGAATTAATAACATGGTTGATGAATTCAGATTGATTCTAAGAATTGTTGAAAACTACATGAAATTGGCAGATACCGCGATTAAGGCCCGGGTGGATTATCTTTCGAACGTTTTCTCGATTGTTTTTCCATCTTCATAATGTAAAATATATCACAATTGGATTTTACTGGATTTCACCATTGGATTTTACATCACGCAGGAGTCCCTAAAAATTAGGGTTGTACAATGAAAAAAAGTAGAAAAAACACTGAACACTTACAACGAGTGTTTTTAATAAAGATTAAGAAATAAGTCCGATAGAGAGGAAATAGTGAATGGATAATTTGTCATGGTTACTAACGATCTGCCAGCCATTGACCACTGTGACAAATGCCATTAGGTACATCAAATTATTAATTTGCAATTTCCCCCCAAATTGGCTTTATTTCCCAATATTATTCAAAAATGCACTTTAAAAATGTTCAGCTTTTTTTCAACGTTTTTTTGATTGTACAATCATAATTTTTGGACACTCCGGAGTTATGAAAAACTGAATAGCAATTGGAGATCATTTCGGATTATCCAATTAAAAAAACCACCAAGATCGCGTTCGAAAAATAATCCACCTAGGCTTTAAATTTGTAGTCGTGAATTTTCTCAATTCACTAACTGCTGTAGTATAATAATGAAAAAATGGTGAAAACTAGAGTTTTAACATTGTTTAAATCCAGAGTTTCTTGTGACAAACAAAAATTTGAAATATTTTTATTGCAAAAATAGATTAGAATATATACTTTAACAGCAAAGGGTTTAGAATAATTAATCGGAAAACATTTTTTTGAAGGGACAAACAATTTTATAGAAACTTCTTTGGGAAGAACTTCCTTCAAATCCACCAATGTCAGATATTTGCAAAATAGTGTGGATAAAATCAGAGACTTATGTCTATGTTTTTTTTAACTTCCCGACCCGTATTTTTAACAGAAATTCCCTTCATTTTATTGCGATTGAATCTACTTGAATCCAATCTCAACTCTTAGCACACCAAAAATGGAATTTATAACTTGCAATTTAAATTTCACCTCCTCAATTCCAATTATCATCAATTACCCATCAACCCCACCCCAGCATGATTCTTTTATTTTTATTATTTCATCTTCACCCGCAACTTTAGTTTGAGAATCCAGAGGGAAGTTCAGACAGCACGCTATCACCCCACACAGAGAGTCCAACATCGAGTTCACATTTGCCAATGAGTTCACCGAATTACTCGAGCCCCTCGTACAGTCCCAGTCACCAAAACTATTCATCAGCCTACCCGAGGATGACAAATGCTCTGAGTGTGCCCTACATAACATACCCAACTGGTTCAGTCTCCTCTGGAAGGACCGATAGCGTAGGCAGTCCGATCTGTCCAATGAGTCCAACATTAACGTCACCAGTGCCCGTCCTCTCTGCTCAAGAGAAACTCTCGGGCTCTGCAGTGAGTATCAACAGTGTCAACGAGTCTCCACAATTGTCTCCAGTATTCAAGAGTGAGGCTGCCAAGCAGATTATCAAAGAAATGACGGAAAAGAGATCCGATGGGCCCAGAAGGCGTCAAGTGCCTAAGGAAAAGAGACGACACTACACTGTCTCCAGTAGTAAACCCATGCTCGACCTTGAAGACACGTTTTCCAAGATGGTAGATTTTGTTTTCATTTATTTCAGTCGAGGGATGATTGAATGATTTGACAAGAACGTAACGTCTTCGGTAATTGGATTGTTGCATGAATTTTTTCATCGAATGAAATGACGAAGTCCGAATATTGCACGAAAACTATGAGACGTATTTTCAAATGCAAGGATAATCAATGGATTGAAACAACTTCTGTATTGTTACGTCCCAAATGGTTTACACTCAATTGTCTGTTGAATAAATTTAAGGAATAGTTAAATTGACCCTTTGGTCGGTAACTCCAGGTGTTGAGGGAAACTATCTCCTTAGGTAGGTTCCACTAATCAACTACTACGCGCAGTTGACCAATCAAGACACGATTTAGAGTGTTTCGTTTAATGAGATTTATTTAATAAAAATAACACTTGGTTTTATTACACTGTTTCACTATTGTAGGTTGAGGGTTTTTAAGTGACCCTTGTGGGTTGACGGTTATTAATGTTTAAATGTTCTTGTTTTGTTTTGGTTTATTTTATGATTCGACTTCTATTTAATTAAATTGGTATTTGTGTTTCAGTCCCGAGCACTTTGAATTTAGACTTTTCATATTTGGAGTTGAAGTATTCACTGGGACTTTACTTGAACTTGAAGTTTCACTTTAAGATTTTTAGAGAAATTATTCCTTTCTCTTTCACCGTGGATATAGAAGTGATTTTACTAAGATGAGATTTGAATATCTTAGGGCTGCTTAGGGCGCACGCGTGGGCGTACACGCTCTAGTTTCTGAGGGTAGGATTGGTTCATTAGGGATGGTGGTGAGGAGAGAGGCGAACCGATTGGTTTTAGGTCAATCGGGGAGCCTCGAAAGTTGTGATTGGATTAGGAGCAATTAAGGGTGCAGCTGCATTTTACTCTTGAGAAAAATTCTGTTCTCACGGAACGTTAGAATTTGGAAAACGTCATTTGACACTTATGATCTTCGGGTTTCTTGGTTTCGCCGTGTTCGGTTTACAATTTCAGGATGCTAGTGCTTATCTTAAAGATTTAGTTAGTTCTTTTTCATGTTTTTGGATAATTTATTATGCACATGTGCATACGAGTGGTTTTCGGTTTCGTTTCAAATGTGGAAAAGCTAGTTTTATGATTTTCTCAGGAAAAAGTGGTCTGGACACTTGAGTGTTATTTCTGTTTGAAACTAAATAATATTCTAATTTACTACGTTTGAAAAAATATAATTGGGAATTGGGGCTTATATACTAATTGTGGGAGGACGTATTTGGGCTCGTTGTCAGCGTGCTGGCCCTATAAACCAAAGCGTCCCAGTAGCGCAGGTTCGAGTCTCGGTGATGAAAGATTTTTTCATCGCCGGAAAACGAACCCAGTGCATGTGGAGTTAGTTATGTGGAGTTAGATAGAAGTTAGCTTAGAGGCAAGTGCGGGTAGGGAATTAGGCTGGGGTACCGCGTAGGTACTGGGACGGGTAGGTAAAGACCACAACGGTCATACCATCTGACACCACCCAATTTTACTAATTGTGGGTAAGACTCGACAGTCGATAAGGTAAATGAAAAATTCAGCTAGCGCCATGAGGTGGCTAATGGTAGGGTCGTAACAGTATTATAGGACAGTATATGGACTTTCTGGCGTGACGTCAAAATTCTAATAATATTCATGCCATTTTCATATTCAGTAATACAAAAATTTTGTGCAACTCTAATTGTCGATTTGTTTAGAAAAGAAGTGCTTTTGAAAGAACATGTCAAACTACTATTTTTATGGAGGATATTGTCAACTACTTTCAATATTTCGTCCTAATCAATGATTAAAGCGATAATTGGGTAATCGATTGACGATCTTCCATTTTCAGATGATCCCATCTTGTTAACTATTGAAATAATCTCATTGGAAGGTGTTGGAAGGAACCATTAAATCATTAGATGTTTTCGTGGAGAATTGTCCCAGCTAAAAATAAGGTTTCTGGATATTTCATCATCAGATCATTCATTTCCGAGATAACTATATAACGAGGAATTCATTGAAGTGTAATAATGATGAAATCAACTTATTAAACGTTGCCATTTATTACATTGGTATTATTTTTTAACAGGAATTTGTGAATCATTTCAGTAATGAGGAATGTTACGAAGAGCTGTCAGGAGAATTTTACCGTACAGAAGTTTCGGAGGTAGAAAGAAAGTTTCTTGACATTAGTTCAATTTTCCGTACTGACCTTCACTTTTCCTAGTCCGGAGATTGGCCCTTCCCTGAACTGGCAAAAGTGAAAGTCAGTATGGAAAAATATCGTTCGCGCCTAATGCCACAGGGGGTTTCGAAAACCTCAGTGGCACTCAACGCGAAATGTACCATTTCGAATCATTCATGTCCAACAATTACATGATTAGTTGATCATTGAAGTTCACTCATAATGACCTAGTCATGTAGAATATTCAACTGTCTCGTAAAAGAATGATCTTATACAAAAATGTCAAGAAAACTTTCTGTGAGAAATTTCATCCACTACAAATCATTCGCTTGACATTTTGTCCTAGACTCGACAATTACCAAGATAATTGCCTAAATAATGATGATTTTGAGTTCGATTGTGACTCTATCTTTTTGATTGTTGAATTATCTCGGTGATAAATATTGTTAGAAAAAATCTTTCTATATTATAAAACTCCAAATCGACTTCTGGTGATGAAAGATTGGTACTTGAAATTAAGACGCCAAAATTAAGGGTCATGAGGGTAAGAATAAGGGTCATAAGGGTCAGAAGACGGGCCACACGGGTCACATTAAGAGTTATGTCAGTCACATTAAGGGTTGTCAGATTAAGTGCCCAAATAAGAGTAACAAAGGTCAGATTGAGACATATGTTAACCTAGCAGGCAAAAGTAGCAGAATCGAATTTTCAATATTGGACAATTTGCAGCTTATTATGAGCTAATTTTAAATGCCTTCAAATTTTTTTTTGCTAATACCGTTTTAGAAAAAAAAAGTGTCTCTGTTAGCTTTTTTGTAAGTTAGCAGAAAAATTATTTAAAAAATCAATAGAATTTGATTTTCGATATCGGATAATTTAAAGCTAATTAAGAGCTAATTTTTTACGTTTTCAAGAAATTTTCAGCTAACCCAGTTTTTGGAAAAACGGCGTTAATGCTAGCTTACCGCAAGTTAGCAGAAAAATTATTTAAAAAATCAATAGAATTTGATTTTCGATATCGGATAATTTAAAGCTAATTAAGAGCTAATTTTTTACGTTTTCAAGAAATTTTCAGCTAACCCAGTTTTTGGAAAAACGGCGTTAATGCTAGCTTACCGCAAGTTAGCAGAAAAAATGGTTAAAAAATGAACAAACTTTGGTTTTCGATAAGGGATAATTTAGAGCTCATTAGCAGCTATTTTTTTACGTTTCAAAAAATGAAAAATAATTTTTTTTTTCAAAAATAAATTTTTTCAGAATTTTTTTTTTTCACAAAACGACGCATTTATATACTTTTGACTAAAATGTAGAAATGAACTGAATCTCATTCATAAAAGTGGCAAAAAAATCAGTTTTGACATTGGATAATTGAAAAATCATTACCAGATAATTTGTTATAATTCCAAAAGTTTTCAGTTATGATAACCCGAGTGCTTGAAAATTATCGAGTATTTCCCGAAAGTTTCGTTGCTTAGCAACATGTGCGTGAAGTTTGGCAACATCAAAATCCCGAGCGCTTGCGCGAGGGATTTTGTGCCAAACTGCATGCGCATGTTGATAAGAAGGGAAACTTGAGGGAAATACTCGATTAATTTTCAAGCACGAGGGGTATTAGTTTCATCGTGATACAATTCAGTGCAACGAAAAATGGAAAAACAAATTATTGATGCATATGCAAATTTGTGCAGTTAAAAATACAATTATTATAAGTGTAGGTAGGCTGGTCAGGCAAGGGGGGAATAGCATTCGTAGGTGCAGGTACAATATTCTGCTCATTTGAGGGGCCATCTCGACGCATCCGTTTTACGAGCTGTGCATGGTATCCTTCGTCTATTTGGAGATATGGTTTGATGGAGTTGACGTTGGAGTGACCAGTGATCTTGATGATTTGCTGCTCCCCAACACCAGCTTTAGCCAAGTTGGATACTGCAGTTGCTCGACTCGAGTGATTGGTGATTTTTTTACCTTGAGTGTCCAACCCTGCTTTCTTGGCAGCCTCATTGATCCATGTCCCCAGCAAATTTTTCCCAACAGGAGCATCCTTGTACCACCCGATGCTGTCTGGGCTTTTCCAATGGGGATTGACGGTTAGAAATAACCTCTCCGTCTTGACATTACTGCCTCTTTTTGACTTGAGCTTTTTTAGTAGTCGCACCGGGCAGTTCTGTGGATTTTCATCATTCGGGATGAGCCATTTGCCACTCGCACACTTCCTATCCCCTCCCTGGGTAGTTTTGGTGAATATGGGGTTATAGTCAATCCTGCCTGTGTTCCTACCATTAGTTCCAGTTTCATTTTTGAAGTGGTGTGTCGTGGCAGACGCTCCTTCCCCTCCTCTCCAACCCTACTCCACTGATACAAGGATAAATAATTTTTTCTGGAGTCCGTCTGGTGTTTCTTCATCGTAGCAATCCACCATCGCATCAATGTCGGTTTTCTCCAAGGCTGTTGCACTTCTCAGACGTTTTTCAGGATCAGCTTGAAGAAGACGTCTCTTGGCGTTTCGAGCCTCCCGAGCTTGTTGGAATGTGGGAGATGAGAACGGGTCGATTTTCCTCTTAAATTCCGTGAAATATTTATCTTGTAACAACTTAGCTGTTTGATTCCAGATGGTTTTTACGACTCCCTCCTTGTAGTCGCTTCCATCTGCCTTTTTCATATTGAAAGTCCAATCTTTCAGCATATCACCGAGAGCTTCGTCTGGAGTTGTTTCAGTTAGCTCATATATCCGCTCGTCTCAAAATCGAGAGAACTGATTCCAAATGGAATTTCTTGCTTTTCACAGTATTTAATGGGACATTACCTTTGACATATTCATCAATGG